AGTCACACAACCTGTTAAGAACCTGTCATTCTTGAGTGACAAGTGTTTATTTAAATGATAACGCCCAAGTCTTACAAGTCCATCAATCTCCAAAGGATGTCTAGCAGTCTTGCACGCACTGTATCTATATTAATGCTTTACAGCGATGATTGATGGGCATATGATATGAATTCTCTCCATTTAACTTTCATTACTTTATATTAGGGTTACATACTTCCGAAGACAAATGCACTTTAGACAGTCACCATCCATTTTTTATATAGCTTTTTTTTTCTTTCACTTTTAACCTCAGAATTATCTTACAAATGAAAGTTATCTCGGTCGGTTCTGTCACTTGTTTAAAATAATAAAACTGAAAATCATCAATTATCGTCACATGTCCTGACCAAAATCCCACTTTTCTGAACAGTCAAAATTATGTCTAACGTAGTGTGCCAAATGAAAAAATATCTGCTGAATTCTGATTCTGGAATCCATAAAGGCTCAACCCGAGTAATCACTGCCTCCTACATCCATGGCAATTCCAGGTCCACTATATGCGTGTAAAACTTGGGTTTAATAAATGCATACGGTACACAAATGTGATCACAACCCTGCCTTTAATTGGATGAAAGCGTAGAGAGTTGAGAGGCTGCTATACGTTAACTGGAGATGGCATTGCTTCTTCACCTAAACTGTGCTGTCATTCTGGACTTGAAAAGTCTGTTTTTGGTATAGGGCCTTTTTTTACATAATCAGCAGCCACCTTGGTCAATTCACTGCTGGATGAAAGCATCTCCAAGCCACTGTTATGCCTCGTGAATATCCAATGTAAAATACAACTGTTGGCCAATATAACGTGGCTCATTTGAATTCTGAATTTCAAGTAAAGAGTTTAAACGCGTGTGGCAGTGCTCCCTACAGACATGAAAATGCCAGTTTGGCTCCATGCGTGTGAAATGTGCGGTAAATAGCGCCCCGTTCAAACCACGAAAATAAAATAAAACACCTGGTATTCCCAGATGGCCACCAACCAGGTAATAACCAGGCTCGAGTCTGCTTGGCTATCGAGATCTAACGAGATCGGGATTTCAGGTTAATGTAATCCTAATACCTGGGATTCAGAATTGAAATTCACCATATTTTGTTGGCTTACGGTTTTATGTTACATTACATAGCCACGATGTACAATGCAGTGGCGTTGGGAGGCCTTCATCCAGCAGTGGATTGACCAAGGTTTCCGCTGCTGATTATGTAATAATAGAAACACAACACAAAACACGATGCTACTGAAGCCCAGGTGGCGAAACAGGGCCCTCTTCAGTCCAGGCACTTCATTTTTAACCTCGCACAGATCCCACCGAGACGAGGCTACTGCAGGGGCAGTTCGCTAACCACGTCGCCAAGGGAGCGTCCGAGCACCACGCACTGAGCTACGGACCCAGTGTCACCAGAGTTTGATTCCTGGCCGTGGATGTGGCCTCCCTTCCACCCACCTGCATTGATCCACGTAGTGACGTCTGGTAAAACAATTTATTTGCTGGGAACTATTTTGGGGGTGGGGAAAATCATCCAACAGTGGATTGACAATGGGCTTTGAAAAAGTGAACAGGTTTATCCTGAGTAGGCAGTGCCCCCCATGGAGATTAAAAAGCCAGTTCCGCTGTTTGAGTTGGAAACATGGCGTAAATAAGCGCCCACTTCAGATGCAAAAAGCCTATAGCACCTGATATTCCCAGGCAGTCTCCCATCCACGTGGTAACCAGGCTCAACACTGCTTATCTTGCCGAGATGAGACACTCTCGGGTGAAATGGTTGTAAACGAAACTCCAAGGGGAGGTTAAGTGAACTTGTCTCTAACTTACTGTCACTCATCTTCGAATGAAATCATTCAACTTCCCCGCAGCGGGATCCGGACCTGGCGGCGGTGGAGACGGCCCTGCGCGAGAAAAAGGTCACCCTTCCGGGGCCCTGGAGCGGTTTGTATGCCCGGTTGTGTGTAGAGAACGGAGTGGTGAGGGAACAAACCGAAGCTGGGCAGCCGGGGTGCATCTGTGTCCCCGCCCAGGTGCGGCCCCAGTTGCTACGGCTGGTGCACGACCACCCGCTCGGGGGGCCATGATGGGGAACGACGCACTCGGGAGACTCTGCGTCGCCAGTATCTCTGGCCTAAATTGGCGCAAGATGTGGCCGTCTGGGTGCAGGGCTGCCGGGCCTGTCAGCAGTGTGGGCAGAAACCAGCGTGGTACCAGGTACCCCTGAGGCCGTTCTGTGTCAGTCGGACGAACCAGCTGGTGGGGATCGACCTACAGGGACCATTCCCACGATCCCACCGAGGCAACCGGTATATCCTCGTGGTGGTGGAGTATTTCACGCGCTACCCTGTGGCGGTGGCCATCCCAGATAAAACGGCCCTGGTGGTCGCCTAGGCATTCGTGGAACACTACGTGCTTAAACATGGGATCCCCGAACGAGTCATTACTGACCAGGGTAGTGAGTTCGAGGTGGAGCTATTCCAGGCGCTGTGCCGCGAGTTCGGAATCCAGAAGGACCGAACCACGGCATACCACCCCCAGGCGAACGGTATGGTGGAGTGAATGAACCAGACTCTAGCCGGGAAGCTCAAAAGCATGGCGGCCACAAATCAACATGACTGGGACGAACACCTCCCCTATGCCTTGTTCGCCTATGCCACCACGGTACACACGTCTACGGGACAGACCCCATTCCTAATGATGTTTGGTCGTGAGTTTCGCCTCCCCGCAGATCTGTTGTTCGGCGTTCTCTCACCGCAACGGGAGGAGGGGAGCCGCCCATGGAACACCTGATGGAGACTCTGCGAGGGGCCCGGAGCCGAGCCTACCCACAAGGAGAGGCCACACACCAGCAGCAAGAGCAGAGCGCCCGACCCCATATGGAGCCCCCCTTCTACTCGGCGGCTGGAAAGTGTGGCTGCACACTGCTCGTGTCGGGGCCGGGCAGGTCGGAAAATTGACCACCTACTGGAGGGGACCCTGGACCGTGGGACGACAGATCTCCCCCTGGACGGTGCTGATTCAGGGGAGAAGGGCCGGGAGATGGTGGTCAACGTCCGCCGACTAAAACCATGGAGAGCAGCTCCAGCGGGGGGGGACCCCACCGTTCAAGTACCCCAAAATCCCGGGGTCCCCACGCCCCCCATACTCGGGGGCCTCGCGCGGTATATGGGCTCCACAGGGCCCCGGGCCCCGAGGGGCCCCGACCCAGGCCGAGGGGGACGGGGACGACGGCCCTTAAACCCTACCGCCTCTGAGTTTGTTCCCCAGCCCGCAGGTGCCAAGGACCGAGGCGACCCGTTGGAGTGGAAGAGGAGACCGCCGCCGGAACTCCGGGAGACGGAGCCACCACCCCCAAGGCCGGCCACAACGACTGGACGAGTACCACGGACCCCACGATGCTACCTCGTGGGAGCAACCCTGGCGAGGTGCTCCAGTCAACCCGGGACGGGGACTGGCACCTCGGAGGGCTATGTGGTGACACAACAGCGAAGCCGCTCCGTCGAAACCGGTGCCGTCACTGTGCTGCTGCGACCGAGAAGCCACCCGGCTCCCGTCACAGCGCTCTCCTCGCCACCCCCCCCCCCCCCCCACATAAACACACACTCACGTCGGGCCTCGTGGGGAGGGGGGGCACCTGCCCTGAGTTTTTACCCGAGAGGCCCCCTCGTGGGGGTGCTCCATGGTTTCTCAGGGTCAGGGAATTGGCAGCCCCCCCCCCCCCCAGGCAAAATGGCACTGCGGCGCCGTGGCTTAACATAAAAGTAAATGACCACGGCGAACTCACTGAGAACCGCAGTGAGGAAAGGCCCAAGACACACACGGAACAGCAGGCAGGTGAGGAGCGGGGCAGCGCGGGTTAAACGTCTCTACCCGTGGTGCACCGCGGATTAGCGTCTCTACCCGTGATGCACCACGGATTAACGTCTCTACCCATGATGCACCACGGATTAACGTCTCTACCCGTGATGCACCGCGGATTAACGTCTCTACCCGTGATGCACCACAGATTAACGGCGATGATGCGGCACCGGCTCGCTTATTTGAGTCGGTGCACTTGGTTAAACAATGGGGGGGGGGGGGGGAGCGTCAGAGAGAAGGGTGATCGGATTGGATGAGAGGCCAACGGGACGGCGGCGCGGAGGCTTTGAAGTCGAGCATAAAAAGGGACGATTATGGAAGCACGGGGTCGTTTTCGCTAGGGATCAACTGCAGAGAGGGATCGAGGAGCCGTCATTTCACTGTTACTCGCACGTCCGTGAGACGGGTCAGAGAACAGCCAGATTCCGTTTACAGTATCATCTTTCCGCGAACTCCAACACTGCGAGGTCGGACCGTAAGCACAAGGAAGAGAGGTAAGACAAAGGGGCGAAATGCGGCGAGAAAGGGAGAATAGAGAGCGGACAGGCCAATTAAGAATCAGACAGCTGGGTGGGGAGGGTGGATAGCGTGGGGCTGGGTGGGGGGGTGGGAGGGGTGGGGCTGGGTGGAAAGGGGCTGATCACCCCGTGGTGCCCTTGTAAAACTCAACGTTTCACCTACTCACGCCAGCTTGTGCCCCCCCTCACAGTCGGGCATATTTGTGGCGTCCTTTCTCCATAATCCTTGACAGCACAAAGATCGTCCAAACTCGGTGCAATTCTTTTTTGCCCCCAGTGGTAAAATGTACGTTTTTAATTGTCATACAAAAGAATGACTTGGTTTCACCTGACAATGGGGACCCTTTTCTGCACGCGTAGCTGAACATGCTAGTGTGCATGTCTTCAAAGATTTTGTAGAAACATTGAATATATTTTACTTGTTGTAGTCACTCAGTTTCTCTCCGCGGCCTTGGTAAGATTTTGTTATGTAATATCCTTCGCCTCGAGATAAACCGCAAACCCCTGCTTCTAAGGGAGTGGCATGCACATTGTTTGTAAATGCTGCTGAGCAATCAAACGATTGGCATTTTCCAATGATTGTTTGTTTGCCAATGCTATCCCTTTAAATACCTGCACCCAGATTGAAGAGTTACATTCATCGTGGGGTTTCTGTCCCAAATCATTGCCAACATGAAGAAGGTATTGTGCAGTCTTGCAGTCTGCCTCTTAATCTTTCGACCGACACATGCCGGTCCCTTGGAAAGCGACGTTTCCATCAACGAAGAGGCCACGGTGAATATTTTAAATATGCACATTGTTTGAAGATATTACGCGATTATTGACTATTCACGTAACTTCACAATGTGTAATGTTTGTATTTATTGTGTGAACAGAGGGAACTGGAAGAGCTCCTGCCCAACAGCTGCAGGTAATGAGACTCCGAAAAGTGAAACACTGTTTTCGATTCAGTTCAACTCTGCTAATGTTTTCAATGACAGGACGATAACTTAGATGCAAACTAAAGTTTGGGTTGTAACTTATGGTTCAACTGTTACTACCTTTTCAATATTAATTGTAATGAGCTGTAACCAAGTTAATGTAAACAACTCTCACTTGGAAGAGAAAGAAAATATGTTGTTGAAGAATAATTGTACAACTGCCATTGCTGTATTTTATTTTATTGTGTAAAATATATAAAAACGTTACTTTTAACGTATGTTACACATTGCAGATGGAAAACGTGTTACTTATGTCAAGGTTCAATGTTAAACACAGCACATGAGTACATTCATAGCAAAAATTCTGCAGTTTTAAGGTTTCCGACATTTTTATTTCAATCACAGCAAACATCCTTGAAAAAAATACAAATCTCACCAATTTTATTCTACAAAATTCAAATGTATCCTGAATGTCCCCAATTATGATTAAATACCGAGAGGGGGGGAAAGGTTAATCCAGCATTTTTAAGATACACTTGAAAAACTTTTTTTTTATTTTACCAGGTAAGGCCCCCTGAGCTATATAGCTCTCTTTCATAAGTGACATGGCCACAAATAATGACTTATCACGTGGAAATGACTTATCATGTGGAAATGACTTATCATGTGGAAATGACTTATCACGTGGAAATGACTTATCATGTGGCAATGACTTGTCACGTGGAAATTACTTATCATGTGGAAATGTATAGCAGCTGAATACTCGGATAAACGGATATTTCTAAATGAGGAACTGGAGAGAAACCCACGCGATCACAGAGAGAAACATGCAATTTCCAAACATATAAGCAGGTGTCAGGGTCGGGATCGAACCCATGATCTCCATGTATACCACGCGAAGTAGTTAACATCTCACCACCGTGGGCACCCCTTGTTGAAGACTAATGGTGTCCATTACATTGACGAAGGGAATACCGTAATTGCCCTCTCACTTCTCCACCTGTGTGTGCTCGCAGCATTTGTTTTGGAACTCGAGGCCCACGAGGCCCTCCTGGAAAGGATGGATGTGCCGGACCACAAGGTAATTCATCGCTGGTTATTGGTTCTAGTGAGAACACGTGCTCGAAACGTTTGCCAACAAACGCTATTTATTTTAACTGAAAAGGCTCATTGGAACACAACTGTGAAATAATCTATAATTGCAATTTGCTAGCATATGCTTGCAGTTCGTGTGCCTGCCAGGTTTGTACAAACACTGACTTTATTTCTTCAACCGGCAAGGATATTTTTAATCCAAGGTGCGCTATCTACTGCAAAGTGGACATTAAAATGGAAATATTTCCCAAGGGCGCACCGCCGACTGCTATTTTTATCATGTCCCGTTGCCTTTGAAAAATATGGTCACTTAAACCCAGACAATGGCGGTGTGTCCTGATTGTAGGTGTGCCAGGCAACCCGGGCAGTATCGGTCCTGCTGGACCACTGGGCCCAGCTGGCTCACCTGGCCCAGCTGGGAGCGCTGGACCTCCTGGACCAGCTGGTCCCCCTGGCAACAACGGCCTGAGAGGGGAACCAGGCAACACTGGTCCTCCTGGACCCCCTGGGAATCCTGGAACCCCAGCCGCAACAAACCGCATCTCTTGTACTAACGTCTCCAGCAGAGGTGCCACCACGAGTTGCCCCACAGGTGAGAGGGATGTGTGTGTGTGGGGCGGGGGGACTCTAGCACAGGATTTTTTATTTTGAGCCTTCGACACTTCACGTGGCCTCAAAGTGCACCTGGCCTGGCACAGTGCTTGTGGTAACGTCGCTATCTCTTAGTGGCGAATGTCGGGTGTTGGTATTGATGGGGGATACATGGACCATTACGTGGATGAATATCCTAGAGGATAGTGCCCTAGTCACTCATCGACTGCATGGATTCAATTGTTTGATTCGATCAGCAGGAAGTGATACAATGATAATGACTCTACTTCGGCTATACTGCAATGTACTCATTCCCATGAATGTGTTCACGTGTATCCATACCCCCCCCCCCCGCCACAGGGTACATCGTGTTGTCGTGTTCATGTGGAAGCGCGTGTGGTTCGTGGGACATCCCAAACGACAGCACGTGTCACTGCCAGTGCAATAACATCGACTGGACATCGGCGCGGTGCTGTCAGCTGGCTTGAGACGGATCGGCGGTGCAGATGGGAGAACAATAATTGACCGGATACTTCAACTATCTTTTTTTCCTTGGAACCGAATGCAGCATATTACAAATGCAGAGAGCATCTATTTTCACCAAGTATAGTGCACAGATGTAATCTCACGAGACATTTTTGCTTCTCAATTTTGTCTGCAAACCTCTGAAGTGACGTCGTTTATATTTCACATGTGTTTATGAATTAAAAAAAGTACATAGCAAAGTGTTGAACTTGACTACACAGATTTATCTGTTGGTGCATTAAAACGTCTTTCTATATATATTTTAATCAATCAAATAATAAAAAAATCTGGATTTTGTAACATACCTGTCAACCCCTATCAGTGCCTACCTTATTACAGAACAATTTAGACCTTATTGGTCACACAGTGCCCTTATAAATCTCAACGTTCATCCGACAAAGTTCCATCACAAGGGAGAAACACAAACAGATATACAATCACCACTAGTACTCTCACCACTAGTACACTCACTACTGCAAACCTGTCAACCCCTAATCAGTGCCTCCTACCTTATAACAGATCCATTCAGACCTTATTGGTCACCCCGTGCCCTTATAAATATAAAAAAAAAACATTTATCCTACAAAGTTCCATCACAAGGGAGAAACACAAACAAATAGACAACAAAATGTCCGTATTTAAATGGCTGCACGCCGTATGGACCAGAAAACTCAATTTCTCTGACAAGAATACGGGTAAATCGGTTGGGTTGACACGGTATGTTGTAAATACATATGCTGATTTTGGTGAAGCTCATTTCTTTTCAGATAAATGGCATTTTGCTTTTTCGTAATAAATGGTTGTTGATGTTACTTCGTGAATCTTTTAATATTTAAAACCCTTGCCATGAGGCAAAAAAAAACAACCACGTGTGGTCTGGTGGCTTTTTGAAAGAATCCATTGGAGCAAAGATTGTCTAAATTCTGGGCAAAGCATTTGTTTCCCATAATGGACACTTGCGGAGTGACTGACTCAGAGACACGAAGAGTAGGAAGCACTCTGTTTATTAACACGGCCTTAACAGTTCACACTTGGTAACTGCGGCTCCCAGTCAGGGCAGCTGGTAGCCTGCCTGACTGGCCATGCCGAGATGGTGAAGATGGAGCAGACGGTGAAGACTCCAGCAGCAGCACGACGGGGATCCCCCCACTCCACACGACAGCGCCAAGGTCCCCTACAGGGGCCCCTCTTATACCGTCAGCGTGGCCTGGCTCTGCCCTGGCCACGCCCCCCTTCTGGAACCTACCAGCGGGTTCTCGGTGGGCACTATCCGTAACCTTCCACCTAGATCCCTCTCTGGTCTATCACGTGGCCTGCCGTCAGTCAGGGCTGCTGTGAGCTGCAGATCCCCTTCCCTGCTAGCAGTCAGCGCTATGCTGCTACGTGACCGATTCTATGCCACTACACTTGTACAATCACACCGCATGTAAAGTGTATATTTGAGTGCTATCTAAAACACATTTGATGTAAAAATATGGTTAGCCTACACTGTCTAATAATTACATTTGCCAAAGCACCATATGTGGGGCACCATGGTGGTGAGATGTTAACGGCCTCGCCTGATATACAGGCGGTCATGGGTTCAATCCAGAACCTGACACAGGCTGTCTGTTTTGAGTCTGCATGTTCTCCCCGTGGTCGCGTGGATTTTTTCTGGGTCCACCGGTTTTTTCCCTCCACATTTAGAATCAACATCGTACGTTTAGAGTATTTGGCTGCGATACGTTTTCACTATAATTTGTGGCGAGGTCGCTTTTGAATAACAGCTCAGTGGCCCTTACCTGGTAAAATAAAAAAAATTGCCATGTCACATTGCTATATTTCAATTGTAATGCCCGCCGAGTCACTGCAAACGGTGGTCTAGAAGTCTTGTGACTCCCAATTAATCGACCCCTACAATTGTTTTTCTTTGCATATTCAAATTTTCATTGAAATAAACCTTACTTTAAGTTGTAGATACTTAAATCTGGGGCACACAGGACGCCTGGAACAGCCTGTGCAGTACTCTAGCAACGGCCTGCCGAGCCGCTAAGAGACGAGCTGGGGGAGTACGTGACAGAGCCGGAATTGGCATGAGTTGCTGTTGTTGTGCAGAAGTGGGGAAAGGTGCTGACTTGATGTTGGCTCAAAGAATCCTCCCCCCCCCCCCCCAAATGTGGCTGCGGTGGAACGCGTTGTGAAGTCGTGTCGACTGCGAGCGCGTTCTCTGTGAGCATGGGGGGGTGGGGGCTACTCACGCTCACCATTCTCTGAAGCCAGCAGCTCCGGCTTGCAAACTTGGACATTCGTTTATAATTGCTGCTCAATGTATCTCCATACGGAAGGAAAAGTGGAGCAGCTCGTGTGGCGTTGACATTCCCCGCACCTCCGATAAGCACGGTTGGCTAGGTACGGCGCGAAAGAAGTTCAACGTACATACCATAGGCGCAGTAGTTGAGGAACAAGGCACATGATTTGGTAGAACCTTCTAGAAGGTTCGGGCAAGATCAAGGAAGCAGAACCAACACCCTTATATATATTTTAAGTATATACAGGTCACGTTTGAACTCGAAAACGACCTGTAGAGAAAGACAGATGCCGATTGCTGCCTTGATAGAGACTACAGTCAGGGAGAGTAGGGAGACTCAGAATTTTGTCCATGGAAAGTTCGGTTTATTGTTCAGATGGTCAGACAAAGGTCTCTACATAGACGTTTTTTTTGCATTGCGGTGTTCTTTGTGGTTAGAGATGTACTGTAGTCCGATTGTTGCCCGTGGTAATATGTTCAGGAGCGGAATGGTAATGTTAAGGTCTGCTTGGCACGACAAGAAGGCTTCAGGAGAGTCTGACTAGTTTTGCTATTTCTCCCACATGGAAGGAGTGCGGGCTACATTGTTTGGGTTGCATGACCACAATCGCGCTGTGGCTTGTGTGGTGCCACAGCAGCGAAGCCGCTCCGTCGGAGCCGTGCCTGCCACTGTGATGCCGCAGCAGCGAAGCCGTCCTGCCGACTCCGTGGCCGCGACGCCGCCACCTCCGAGCGACGGGGCCGACGCTGCTCTTCCCTCACCACCCCCCACATGAACACACACACACCCCCACATAGAGCCCCGAGGGGAGGTCACCTGGCCGACAGGTTTTCACCCAGAAGCCCTCTCATGGGACCAAACTTCACGGTTTCCTGCGACCAGGGAATTGGGTGACCTCCCCCGAGGCTAACTCGCACCGCGGCGCCGTGACTTGGGTTGTAATCACGTGGTCACGACGGGGCTGCTGAGCCACCGCGGGTAGAAAACACACACAACACACACAGGTCAGCAGGCAGGTAGGGGGGGACAGAGTCACGAATGGCAGGAAAAACAGGGCCGGTCCTCTGATTGGTAGGACAGATGTACTTGTTCAGAGGGTGAAAAGCAGACGTCTGAGAGAGCACCGGTCCGGGGAGAGTGGCAGGAAATCCGAGCCACCTGATTGGACGGGAGGCCAGCGGATCAGCGCCGATTTATCTTTGATGTAGAGGACAATAAAAAGAGGAGAGAAGGTAGGGAGAGTAAGTTCGTGTTCTACTCAAGCCAGGCTCAGGGCCGTCGACTTCCCAGCCACTCGAACGTCCATAAGACAAGTCGAAGTGCAGTGAGGATCCGACCCAGCAGCTCCGTACGAGTCGAACATTGAGTACCCGAGAGTGAGATATTGAGGCCATTGTGAGATTTTCCTAGGAGAATGATTCGGAAGAGGCGATACAGATCGGGTCTTAAACCATTGGGAGATAGGTTAGACCTGCCCTGCTGACTCAAACTGACTCGGGTAATTTAGCCTCGGACTCGCCGAGAATAAACTGTTGGTGATCAATAAACCTTGTCGTGTGGTTTCTGAGAGGGTGGAACGGACGCATGTTGGTGTGCATCGTTGTACCCTGTGTTTGTGCGTGAGTGTGTATTTACCCACGTGTTTACGCTCGCCCATGCGTGTAGCTCATGGTTAGCGTGTGCATGTGGTGAGCGGCGGCGGACTCGTACAGGGGCACGTGAGATTACTCATACGCCCTTTCGTTTAACGTGTGCATGAGGCGAACGGGCGGCGTACCCGTGAGATAGTTCATACAGCCCTTTAAATATATCTCCGAGACAACCCCCCCAATCGGCTGCGCGTGTGCGAGTGACGTCCCTGCCCTCTGACCCCCGACCCCGAGTCCCGCACGCGCGATTGGTGCGTGGCACGGGAGAGGAGCGACGTCGGATTTCGAGTGAGTGGGTGTGAGTGTGCTCAGAGATTGTGTAAATTGACCCCAGGTGGCTAAGCGCCAGCCACGAATCATGCCCCGAGGGGCCGCGGCGAAGAGGGGGGGGAGTCGGTGAGCAGCATCCCTCTTCAGGACATGGAAGAGGGGAGCAGCGGATCCCATGTGAGCGAGGAGCTGGGGGTCAGCCTCCCCGACACTTGTCCTAAATGTATCGCTATGCATCTTTATGTGTCTTTGTGTGTGTTTACTATATGGGCCATAGTTTGTGTTGCATGGCCACAATCGTTCTCTGGCTCGTCTTTAATACTTCTCGTTCGAGCAGTGCAACTCTACACAACGTAATTTGTTTAAGCTTTCAGTTTATTCCTAAGCCTGTTTATAGGCTGCATTTCTCCATTTCACAATCCTTATTCTAACTCTTGCCCCCGAAAGAAATCTGGACTCTGTTGTATTTAGGATGTCTAGTCATATATGCCTACAAAATACATTTTGGGGGGGGGGGAGTTAAAAATGTGTTTGCGTGGGTCGACAATTTTTGGAACACTGTTGGATCAACGACTTTTTACCCCCACATCTGGAGCGGGTGGGGGGATGTCCACTTTTTATAACTTATAATTTAAATTTTGATTTAAAGCTTTCGTGACTGCAGTAATTCATATTCTTAGTTTTTTCGGTAAAGTCACGTTGAAGAGAAACAACAAAATAATAAAATATATAAAAAACAATTTTAAAAATTCTCACGACGTTTCGACCATAACTCAAGAAGACGACCGTTTGAGTTATGGTCGAAACGTCGTGGGAATTATTTTTTATAGTTTTATATATATTTTATTATTTTGTTGTTTCTCTTCAACGTGACTTTACCGAAAAAACTAACTTATAATTTAGTTGACGGGAAAAACGGAACGACGGGCTTGTATGATAGATTAGCTTAGGCTCATCTTCAGAGTGATTTTCCCCACTTGTGCAACCATTGTGTAATGTCATTACAAATCGTACCGTGTGTATACAGCTTTACAAAGCCGGTGAAGCAATGTTGTTTGACTGGATTTGCTAATGATAAGGAAACTCGCCAGCCAATGGATCTAATGTCATAAATTGACTCCCCCCAAGTTGTAAACTTGAATGCCTTTGTAAATCCTAGGATTGCAATCGAGTTTCATTACTACATGCCTGGGCAATACATATGATTATCCATGTGTATGGCATTCCATGAACACCCATATCTGAATTTTGACTTAAAACTTTCGTGACTACAGGAATTAATATTCTTTGGTTCTTTTCGTAAAGTCACGTTGATAGAAAAAGAGAATAATAAAAATGAAGTGAATTAAAATATTTATATATCGAAAAAAGTATATATTGATATTTTTATTGACTTTATTTTATCTACGTGACTTTACCAAAAGAACCAAAGAATACCCATATCTGAACGTCGCCGAATATGCTGTTTGTCGTACATGCTTATAAGAAGCTGGTAGAATTTAGGTGTTTACGAATGTGTGTTCTAATCACTCAGTTATTTCTAACAAAAAAAAATGCCTGGTATGGTACTGCCAAGTGACTAAAGTTATGTGTGGACCCAGCTGATGAGCAATATTCTCGTAAACCTCCCCACCCTCACAATTTATAAATGATCAGGAATTTCCCAAGGTTCTCTGTTAAATATTAGCCTCCGTGCTAACTCTAGGCACTACAATTGCGTTGCTATATTTGTTTTTATTTGTCGCTGAGCAGGGGAAAGATGAAGTTGCCGTGCAGCCTGACAATGTGGTTGCTGCTGGCCTCTGCGCAGGCGCATGCTGATCAGTTAGGAACTGACAATTACCAAGCGGAAAAGGTACGGAATGGTAAAGATTCGTCGACCTGGCCCAACGCAAACGTGTTCCACGTTTTTTTTTACTCGGGATGCACATTAAACTCTCGTATATGTGGGGAGAGTTAGATATGCGCTGAATACTGTACTATATTACCTGTATGAACACGCCGATACATTGTCGTATGAGAACATCGCAAGTGGTATAAGATAATTATGTGTTGGGAAATATTTATATATAAACTATAGTCCTGCATTTGACAGTGCATTTAATGCTTCTTGTGCGTCGGAGTAAATTATGCATTCGGTTGACAACTCGTTGACTAGTTTAGTGACTTCATTTGCCGTGTAATGAGCAGATAATCACAATCATAAATATAACCACGATCAAAAAAGCAACGCCTCTTCGGATTTGTATTTGCCACTCGTTATGGAAATTAAATTGAGAAATTTGTAATTGGATTTGCGAATACAATTTACAGTACATAATACTGTAAATTATTAAAACCTTCACGTGTGAGTGCTTGGATGTCTACTTGAGTTTATAATTAATTAAATAAACCATTCACGAGTCGAGTTCTGTAGTTGTTATAACTTCGAAATGTGATTTTGTTTCTGAACAGAGGCAACTGGAAGAGTTCCTACCCAAAATATGCAGGTAATGAGACTGAGCATGGAAGCACCGCTTTCGGTTCCATTGGATATGACAAAATGCATCATTGCCATTATTTTTCATCTCGCACCTCCGATTAGTACGGGCTGGCTAAGTACGGTGCGAAAGAAGTCCAGTAAATGTATAACGTACATACTCTCGTTAAGCCAGGAAAGCCTCACTCTGAGGCTCAGTAGTATGTTTCAGGAGTGGCTTGTCAAGTATTCACAGTGGGGGAGGGGGGGTATGGGGGAGGGGGCGATGTTGCTGCTGCTGCTGTGTATTGTCAAAAGAGGGTTATTTGCAGACAGTGTTTTCAATTTCCTGAGTGTCTTCTTCTTCTTCCACGCGTTTCTCCCACTCATGTGGGGTCCCCTGTCCTTGCCAAGCTTCTCCGCACTGCCCTGGCCTGCACCATCTCTCTTTCCGCTCCTCAAGTCAACATGTCCGCACCACATCGCCCCCCCCCCCCACCTCTTCTTCTTTTGCCTTCCTCTCGATCTCTTTCCTTCCACTTGCATCACTTGCGCCTTCTGATCCCACATCATTTCCCTGCTGTCTCTCCACGTGACCGAACTACACCGGCCTTTTTTTCTCTCTCTCATCTTCTCTGTGATGTCTACCACATTGAGTCTTCCTCTCACTTCTTCATTTCTCACCCTGTCCTTCCTTGTTAAACTCAACATCCATCGCAACATCCTCATCTCTGTGACTGCCATAGCTTGGTCCTCCCTCTTTCTTGTGCCCCGGCACTCGACCCCATCCAAAAGCACCAGCTTCACCACCGTCTTGTACACTTTTCCCTTCAACCAAACTGAGACCCTCTTATCGCCCACCACACCAGTCATCTCTCACCATTTCAGACATCCAGCAGCCCTTGTTCTTGTTCTCATCTCTCCTTCCAGTGATTCATCAGCACCACATCGTTGCACCCATGTACTTAAACTTGTTCGTCTTCATGAACTGGTCACTTCCAATTTGCAATCCTCCTCCTGAATTATTTCCACTGAAATTTGCCACCATAACCTGAGTCTTTGTCCGACTGATCCTCAACCCATTCCCTTCCATCTTTTGCACCCAAATCTTAAAATCATCTTCCACTACCCCTCTGCTTTCACCGCATAGCACAATGTCGTCTGCATTGCGCTATCTCTCGTAGAGGTGTGCCCAGCACCAGGATAAACAGGAAGGGGGGCTCAGGGCAGAACCTTGCTTTACTCCCGCATTGACGTGAAAGCTCTCCGACACTCGACAGCTGCTCCCCACGTGCATTTTCCCTCCTTTAACATATCATGGATCTGCTGGACACATGCCTCAGGAATACCTCTTCTTCTTCTTCTCATACACCACCAGGTGAGCTCTCTAGGCACCCTGTCGAACGCTTTCTCTTGATCAATAAACACCACGTGCCGGTCCCGTTTCTTCTTTCTGAACTTCTCCATCAGTACTCTAAGTGCAAATATTTCATCCATTGTTCACCTTCCCTGTCTGAATCCAAACTGACTCTCGCCAATATCCACCAGCTTCCTCAGACCCCTTTCTCTCATCCTTTCCCAGAGTTTCATGGTGTGACTCATCAATGCTATTCCTCTGTAGTTCCCCCACTCTTGTACATCACCTTTCCCTTTAAAGATGGTAACCAATGTATTCTCTCTCCATTTTTTTCTCCATTCAGATTTTCCCAAACAGCCCCATCAATATTTCAACACCCTTTTCTCCCATTAATTTAAACACATCAATTGGAATATCATCTGACCCCACTGCCTTTTGATGTTTCATGCTCCCAGAGCCTCCACTACCTCTTCTCTGGTTATAGTCTCTGCAACTGCTTCAATTATTTGATGCTCCTCAACCATTTCGTCCTCTAGAACAACATTCTGCTCTTTACATTTTGTTTCTCCATCTCGATATACGCAGACAACGTAACTACCACCGCCCCGGGCTTCATTCCCTGCAACGGCAGAGTCATTGGGTTCCGAGATTCTTCGCACACCCTCTGCCCACTTAAGGGTCACGGGGGACTGAGGGTCATTTGTTTGCAAGGACTTTCCATGTTTTGGCTTTAGAGTTTTACGGCCAGTTGCCACCAGACGTCAAACCACCTTTAATCCTGGCTTGGGACAGACAGAAACACATTTCCAGAGTGTAGCTGCTGTAAAAAAAATACTTTCGATGTGGATCTTGGTGCAGTTGGGATAACTCTACCGTGTTTTATTTGGTATTGTGTATTTGCATGTGTTTATTGGGGGGGAGAATGTCAGATGACCATTATATATTTCACAGAAAATAAAATGTGAACTTGTTACACTTATTCATAATAAAGGTTAAACTTGTTACACTGATTCAGGTTTCATATAACAGTACATATTAAAAAAAAAATCAATCAAAATTACATTTATGAATATATATTTTTTTCTTTAAGTGAAATCGAGGCAGTACCTGTCAATGAGTGATCGACCCCCCCCCGAACCCTCAACATCCCAATCTCCTCACCCCCCCGGGTGCCCCCCCCCCTCTACTTCCGCGTGACAACTCCAAGGGGTCCCCCACCCACCACCACCCCAGCTACACCCCTCCCCTCGCGCACCCTTTCCTTGGCCCCCCACCCATCCGCACCCCTCTCCACCCGAGCGCCCCACGCCCCCGTGCGCGGCCCCACCCCTCGCCCCCCACCCTTGGGCCCCCTCCCCTTGCCCCCACCCCCTCCCGGCCCTACACCCTTTTTTACCGCGCTGGGGGTGAAGTAAAGGGGAAGGGAGCCAATGAGAATACGCGATGGGCGGCGCGTGGCCTCCAGCCAATGAGAACGCCGGGAGACGAGATCTGAATATTTATACCGGAGGAATCCGATGAGCTATAAAGCTCTTTTTCACAGATGTCCAGTCGGGCCAGGTCAGTACGTTACAACAACAAACAATACAAAACATGATAGGAATGTAAAATACAAGAAAGGTAAATAAACCACCCAAGCACCTACAAATACAACTAAACCATCCCCATCCTAGCAGACAAAGCCCACTGAGGTATTTCTCCGTTTTACGAACAACGGCACACCGTAGCACATTTACGGAGACATCGTGCAGATAAAAGCAATATTTAATTTGTTTCTACAGAGCTAAAAACACATACTGAATGCCCTTAATCATGATGGATACCAAGAGGCAAAAGAGGGTCCTTCCAGCATTTATGAAAACATTGGCACGTGCATATTAGCGTGAATCACAGTATATTGATAAGTCACATTTACATTTTTTCACTATAATTCTAAACCTGTGTGCTTGTAGCATTTATGGATCATCCTCATACCCACGAGGAATACCGGGAAAGGATGGAGAGACTGGACCAAAAGGTAATTTGTTGTGGGCCTTGCATAAAGTAAGATCACATGGAAATACTTTCGCCAACAAACTTTTTTGTTCTTAACTGTTGCTCAATTGATCCCAGTTATGAAATTCCATATTTCAATTTGCTTGCATATCCTAGCAGTTAACATGCCTGGCAATCGAGCAGGCTTGCATAGACCCGATGGATATATTTTTGGCAACTTAATTATTTGCTAGCGAGCATAAAAGTGTCGCCATCTATTGTAAAGTGTAAAATCAAAGAAAACACCTTCAACGTGTTCCACAAGTGTAGGCCATTGATTGCTGTTATAATTGCCTGCAGCTATTGAAAACCATGGCCACTTACACCAAGACCATGCCGGTGTGTCCTGATTGTAGGTGTGCCAGGTGACCCTGGCAGTAGAGGCCCTCCGGGAAAGTTGGGCCCAGCGGGCTCACCTGGCTCACCTGGGCCAGCTGGGAGCGCTGGACCTCCTGGACCAGCTGGTCCCCCTGGTAACAACGGCCTGAGAGGGCAACCAGGCAACACTGGTCCTGCTGGACCCCCTGGGAATCCTGGAACTCCAGCCGCAACGAACCGCATCTCCTGCACTAACGTCTCCAGCAGAGGTGACACCACGAGTTGCCCCACAGGTGAGCGGGATATGTGTGGTGGGGGGGGACTCCGTGGAGCATCACGTGGTTGAATATCCTAGCGGCGAGTGCCCTTGTGATTCATAGACTCTGCACACAGTCGGTGATTTCATTCAATCAGCAGGAGGTAATTTTTGGCTAGAATTTCCAAAGGATATTGCCCGTGGAAAACCCTATGTGAAAGGATTGTGCGGTTGCAACCTTCTAAGATTAATCTTACTGTCGGTTGTATAGCAATCAGAATGCGTCTCTGCGAGCCCTAATCGATGAGGCAATGGACAATGATCAATCATACATTCCATCCAAATCATGTTATTGGTTGTTACTGCTTGTCAACTTGAGTAGAGGCAATATTTGACTCTTCTTTGCCCAAACCAAACATATGACCATATTTGCCTCTTGTGTACATGTCTCCCTTTGTAAAAAGTTTCAATGTAAGATATCCTGATCTTTCTCATGGGGAGGGTGGGGAGGGGTTCAATTCAATGTTTATGACGTCACAGCCGATGGCATCACCTCCTTCTGCGCACTGTGATCGCATCTATCATTGTCCCCCCGCAGGGCACATAGCAGTGTCGTGTGCATGTGGAAGCGCTTGTGGTTCGTGGGACATCCCAAACGACAGCACGTGTCACTGTCAGTGCCGTGGGATCGACTGGACATCGGCGCGGTGCTGTAAGCTGGCCTGACACGGATCGGTAGTGAAGATGGGAAACAATCGTAGAGAAACCAAATTACATTATCAACACGAAGCAGAGAGAGCGCCACAAAGTGGATTGGCAGTCGTGGGCGCGCTTTTGTTTTCTTAAGTCAAATTTTCTAATATTTTAAAAAATGTATTTCCCATTAAACCAAATGCTGCACAACAATAGAAATGCAGAAAGTATATGTCTTCTCCGAATGGGGCAGAAATGTAACGTTAGAAATGAATCGATGTGATTTCACGAAGGTACGTTGCCCAAATTGTTTTGTGAGATATATCTTGCAAGGAAATGCACGTGAGGAATGTGAGGTTTTTGTGATTTAATGATAATTTGTTTTTGCTTTTCATTGGGACTACCCAGCTCTAAAGTGAATTGGAGATTACATGTCCCTTGTGTGTTTATGAATTTTAAATATATTTACCATATGTGTTTACCAAAAAAAATATTTAGCCATAGCTCCATTTAAAATATCTGGATTTATGTACATTTTTACGAACCAATTCAGAGTATAATTGGGATGATGTTTAGTTGCTGTGCAGTATTACACTGTCATTTTGGTGTGGTCTTATAGTCCACAAATGGTGTATACCTTTATCGATGTATCGCATAACACAATAAATGGTTTGCTGAGTTTATTTTAATATTTTTGTAATTTTTTGTCCTGCTTCCACCCCTTCGCCAATGCACCTTGACCAGAATAGCGAAGTATGGTCAAACAAATCCCCTCCCCCCAAGCATACAGACAGTATTATCAGATTGTATATGTATGTACTGTATGCTGAACTTCTTTCGCACCGTACGTAGGCAACCGTGCTAATCGGAGGTGAGGACAACAAACTAAACACAAACATCAGTTCTAAAGAGATGAGCTTGTAAATCTAGATGATGTAAAAGTGCAACGCTTCAGTGGCTTCCTAATATCGGAAGGAAGAGCGTTCCAGACGGCCGCAGAGGCACAGGTTGTGTAGAACAAATTCGCAAAACAATTCGAGATATCTGATGAAAGGACACAACTTAAAAAACAACAACAACAACAGCAGAGTGTGTGGACCGCCATCAAAATGGTGATGTGAAGAGGCAGACGAGGGCAGGTTGGAGAGATTTTGGAGAATTGAACATCTTAATTAAAAGTAAACTTACCCGTGTGCCTGAAAAATACACTTTTAATCGGTGCATACTCTTTTCTCTGACATATGAACCAGAAATACGGTCATAAATCAAATCAAATGTAGAATAAAAACCATAAATTTGCGCAAAGAAGCATGAGGAGATGCGTGCACATTTTTCGGTTGGGCACCGCCCCAATGCCCCACGTACAGAAAAAGCCGCCGCTCTGCTCAACGTACAATTCAGCAATGCACAAGAACGATACATCTTCTTGGTTCTTTCGCTAAAGTCACGTAGAATGGAGATAAAATAATAAAAAATAAAACAATAAAATAAAAATTATCACGACATTTCGGCCACAACTACTTGTGTTGTGGCCGAAACGTCGTGAGAATTTTTGTTTTATTATGTTTTATTTGTATTATTTTATCTCCATTCTACGTGGTGACTTTACCGAAATAACCAAGAAGATGAATCCCTGCAGTCACGAAAGCTTTAAATCGAAAAAGAACGATACAATTATAGTGTAGCAGCGCCGACTGGCGACCAGGGGTAGTAACTACGAGTGTACCCACCCAAAGGGAAGATCTGGGGCAAGGGGTCATGGAAGGGATAATAAATGGATCAAGGGTCGCGGAAGGGATCCATCTTGTGGCTCCCATAACCAGTTAGATGGTTCCAGAAGGGGGGCGTTGCCAGGGCGTGGCCGGGCCCCGCTGGAAGGTAGTGAGTCAGCGCCGTCGTTGCCAGGCGGTCAGTGTTGTGTTGTGTTACGTGCTAGCGAGTGTAACGAGTGTGAGTTATGAGAAATAAATAAGAAGGTGCCTCTACAGTTATTGTCTCCGGAGTCGTACACTCCACAATCAACGTGATGATATCTAGGGCTTGGTGTGATAGAATCGAGGTGATGGATTCAATGGTCCATCCCCTGCCCACAGCAGAGATGTCCCTGAGTGAGGAGAGTGTTGTTCTGTGGGGTGTTTCCAGGGATGGTCACGTGTTTTTACACTCAGCACAGGGGCTACCAGGTTCACACCCAGGTCTGCGGCCATGTTCTACTCTTGAGCCTCCATGCCAACGAGATCTCCGCTCCCTGAGTGGGATAAGGACATCCTAGGGGGCTGTCCATAAATTACGTCACGCGATTTTTGACCCCCGCCCCCCCGTCGTCACACGGCGTCGCAAAAAGTCAGACCCCCCCCTCAAATATGACGTCACAAAGCTCTGCCCCCCTCTCCAAAAAATTAAAACATGCTTCAAATCGCTTTAAACTATTGTCATTGTAGTGCGTATTTAATGTGGCGCTGCACTCTGATGTTGTAAAAGAAAACATTTATTTAAAAAGTCTATTTAAGTAAGTAGAACGTGTTTATATTTATTTAAAGTTGCGCATTTTGATGTGACGTCACATTTCTCAAACCCCCCCCCTCCCTTGTCACACATCGTCACAAATGTCTGACCCCCCCCTCTCCCCTAGGTGCGTGACGTCATTTATGGACGGCCCCTAGCTTCCGTTTTGTATCGCCCCATAAAGAAACATCTTTCTCCTGTCGGTCAAGTGGCTTCAACGTTACTGGGCGAGCATTTATTCTTCAAATATTTTATTTGGCAATACCGGTACTAGACAAGAGAGGGCAGCCGAGTTCCGTCGTGATCATGGATTGAAGGCTGCCGTGGGATGTCAATGTGAGCGCACAGAACCTGCAATATTTAGAGGCAGGGTCGGATCCATAATTTTTTTAAAATCCCACCGAAAACTTCCTCACTGCAGTCGTCTGTGCAGATGAAAAAGAGAACAACATGGACGTCGTGGGATGTTAAAGGCTCCCATAGGCTAGATTGTGTGTTGTAAGCACATGATTATCATCTCCACTGATCTACTCCTGGATGGAGCTGTGGATGTATTCACTGCTGGACTGTACGCCAACAAAGATAACGGGACTAATATTCAATGCAGGATTAATAGTACTAGTAGGGATTACTTTTCGACCAAGATTAATTATAATTTCATCCTGTGTTTTCATCTTGTATAATCCGTAAGTGGTTTCACCCCCCATCAAGTAGGGTGTTTTAGAGCTGCCTATGTAAGCTGACCTATATATGTAAAAAAAAAACTCATACAATTTAACTTTTGCCTTAAAGCTCACAAAGTATATTTTTAACCCTCATTTTAGTGCGGGATGAAAACTATCCCAAGCCGAGTTGGTCATGGCAATCGTTTGCCCGCACGTGACCATGCCGAACAGCGTTGTGTTGGTGATGTACCCCCAGGATGGGCGTCACGGTGGCGAGATGTTAACTACCTCGCCTGGTACACAGGAGATCGTGGGTTCGATCCACAACTCTGACACCTGGTGTATATTTGGAGTTTGCGTGTCTCTTTTTGTGATTGCGCGCATTTTTCTCCGTGTCCCCTGGTTTTCCCCTCCTCATTTAGAAAGAACATGCATTTAGAATATTTGCTTGCGATACATTTCCACGTGACAAGACACTTGGTTGAGCTTTCATTCGTGGCCAGGGCGCTTCTGAAAAAGAGCTATGAAGTTCAGTGGGCCTTAACTGGTAAAATAAACAATAGTTCGTTTATAGGTTAACACGTAGACTTTCACGACCAATATCATCCATAATACAGGGGTGTTTTGGGGGGTTTGATCGTGAAAGTTAGTTTATAGTTAATAGTGTAGTTACAAAACGTTAGCAGTGGCAAGGAACTTAAACTCGGGTCACCGGGTTCACATAGCAGGCCACTCACGGCCGCTGCAACAACCTCTCCACCCCACCAAACCATATCCATCAATAAGTTATGTTCCAATGTTTACAAAAAAAAGAACCCCCAAGTGTTTAACTTTTACACGCGTGAGTAATTGTGCCACGCCAAGGAACACACAGCGTAACCACAAATTGTAAAATTCTGTTTAATCGTAAAACGTCGAATAGCTCGATTTACTCTGTCAACGCAACTGACATTCCTTTAAGGCTCAACGCATTCGTGAATAACAACCTACTGCAGAGACCAACACAAAAAAATGTCTGAAGTAGGTGACGTTTCTGGAAATGCTATGAAGAAGGGGCCATTGCCACCTAGTGCAGTAAAGTTGTTGTACTCTCTAGGGTGGTGTTTTTGACAAATCTGTGCTTGTGCACCGCTGGCCAAAACATTGTTTTACGTGACATTCCTCAAAAATACTTGGGACAATATTAACAGCCGATCAAATGTACATTCTTGTCTTCGTCAACAAAACACGAACCACCTTTTAAACAAAACATAGCCGTGAGGCATTCCTCTTTGGGTAGGTAGGCGGGTTGCACCTGCACGCGCAGATCGCACACGATGCGTTCTGCGCCGTAGAGCGTGGCCCACCTGACCCTGGACTCAAACCGCGGTTCCATTTAAACCAACGGCTTCAAGACACCACCCCGCCCCCCCCCCCGCCCCCGTCAGGTGCAGCCTCTGGACTGGTGGAACCGGAACGTGTTTTTTTTGGCGGGAAACCTCCACACCTTCCTCCCCCCACCATCGCCATCGCCACCACTCATGGAAACAGCAGTTGAAATGTGGGCGTCAAAATAAAAGGGGAGTTATATAGAAAAGTAAACAGAGGGGAGATACGAGCCACAGGAGATTAAAACATACCGACGTTCACCATGCAACCTCGGCTCAATGCGATGAGTATTGAATTGCACCGTAAACACGCATTTATATACGGTACAGCCTTTTGATAATCGACTGCTTGAATAATTTTGAAAATATTTTTTTTACATTTCATTTAAAACTAGCGGCAAGTACACGGCGTTGCCCGGGTCTTAAAAAATATTTCAAAACTACTCTTAAAAATCTAACAGTAGTGCGTACTGACTGTGGTGGTACCTGCTATGATTACAGCAGTGCATACTGTGGTGGTACCTGCTATGATTACAGCAGTGCATACTGTGGTGGTACCTGCTATGATTACAGCAGTGCATACCGACTGTGGTGGTACCTGCTATCACTACAGTAGTACATGCTGACTCTTTAGCAGTATTTATCGCCTCTATAGCACAAAGTACTCACCTGACAGAGTGGCGTGGTGAGGCCTAGTCCCGTGCAGAGCCTCCAGCCTCGCCTAGATTGTCCAGCCGGCCGAGGTGGCACCTTGGGGCAGGCTGGGGCTGGGCTGCTACTCCTGACCCCCCCACAGCCACGATCTCCCCGGCTGCTCTGCAGTAATATATACGGCCTATAGTGGTAGCATCTAGCGACTATGGTAGTAATAACTGCACGCATCGGGGTGGGGGGGGGGACATCACACAGTGAAGAATTAACGTCAGCGTTTAGTGTATATTTTTAGAATTTTTAACGTGAAATAAAATGTCCCCCTTACTCCCACCGAAGGTGTGCGACTTGGTATGGGCCGCGCCACACCCCCCCCCCCCCCCACCAAAGGCGCGTGAGTTGGTATGGTCCTGCACGCGTCATAAATAAATAAATGGTAAGCGCACCAAAATCGCACAAAATCGCTAATTAAACAAATTGAAAGTTGACGGATGTGAAAAAGGAATAG